AGATAATTAGTGGGCAGACAATTTTCATTTATATAATGCTCTGTGAACACAAATTAGTTAGCATAAATCAGTTAAATGACGAAAAATTAGGTGTCCATTTACTTGTGACCACTCAGTGTACTTTAATTATCTAAAGTAGTTCATTATCAATTCTACCGTAACATTTTTTGACGGTTATTTCAACGAGATCTAAGAAATAATGTACTTCCTATAGTCTTGGCTTGAACCTTCAGAACATTTTTCAACTTTTATTGTAAAGGAAATAAAATTTAAAAATACTCTACTTTACATAAATTATATGTTATTGTATTGTAGTTCAATTTTAAAAAGTCCATTTTCCTCCATTTTATGAACAATCTTTCAAAAGTCGTTTTCAGTTGTACATTACAGATATAATTCTCGTATCGTTCTCGTGAATCAGTTTCAATAGATTTACTTGCTTCTCATGCTACTACGAATGGAATTTTAGGAAATAACGGTTTTTTAGTGGATACATTCTGTATATACAACAGGGAAATGCAGTTCATATAGATTATATCTGTTTTGTAGCAAAATTGTTCAATGTAAGTAGTTGATATCATAACAAATGCTATAAATGTAAGTAATTGTTAGTTGAGAAAATGTTAACTATATTTTCTCAATATGACTGAAATACAACAGCAATACATGTTCTAAGGTGTTTCGTGTTTCTTTTTAAATTGTTCATATAGGTCTGTTGTCTGTTGGTTTTGAAAATTAAGCTTTCTATGTTTACGTTTATTTGTAATTAAGAAAGTGAAATACTACTTGAAAATTGCACAATTGATGCAAAGCAATTAAACAAGGAATAGTCTCTTTTGTAAATACACGTAAAGAAAACAAACTAGGAAATGTTACTTTATTTCTTTTATTGTGTTGTTTTTTCCATTTTCTGTTTGAAAATATATACTTATCAGATGATAACAGTTTTATTATAATAGCAATCCTATTGCACGTTTCTTTACCAGAGATTGCTAGTTTAATGACTTACTGTTGCTAATTAATCATATTTATCATTAGTATTAGGCGTATTATGTTTGTAACACTACTTTCTTTATCTAGTCCCTTAGAGATTTTCAAGAATAAGAAGAATGTTTAATGGTATTCCAACCACACAATGTTCGTCACATCCATTGTAAATTACGCCAAGTCCTAATATTAATGTCTTATGACAAATATGATTAATTATTATCATGCTTTGTCAGCTTGTAAAAGGCGTTTTCGCCATAATTTGCAGCTGTTTGTTTTTTGTTGGTTGTTTATAGTTGTTTGTGTACATTATCTAAACTTTAATCTGAAAATATAACCAAATCCATTAATATTTGAAACTCTTACGAGAGCTGCAAAACTATGTAAAGTGTGATTTGTAAGAAAATAAGTGTACAATACAACGTTTAAAATATTTCAAACAAACTTCTTACTCTTAATTTTTATTTTCATTTTTTTTATGGTTTGCTTTTATGTATTAGTCACCGCCAAAAATAATAAGTTCTTTGGTGAAAGTGTGTGGAAAGTTTGTCTGATGTATATAATTTTTATTTTAAAATACGAACTTCATCTCTAATTCTTAGAACCCACATGAATTGGAATTTGATACTAAATCACTTGTATGAAGAATAACTCAGGGAAATACTGAACTGGAATATATTCAAAAATGTTTAATAAAATGCTTTTTTTCCTTGGTGATGCTATAAACATGTTTATAAAAAAGAAAAGTTTTATGTACTTAAACAAAAAAATAGGAACTAACCTACTACTATATTTTAGAAGGTGAATTTTTCCATCGCTTTTTTAACATAAGCTGTTTCTAGGCTTTTTGTAAACCGCATTACTATCCATAAGTGTGAAGTAATAAAACTAAAGTAATGTTCCATAAATCCTAACCAGTCAAAACAAATAAGTTACTACAATACCTTTTGACTTGTCCTGGAAATAATATAATTGTAACCCATTTAGAGATTTTTGTTTTGAAGACGTTTAGATCAGAGTAAAGATTAATTTGGTTTGTTAAATATATACTAACTAAGAACTGAGGGCTATTGTTTGCTATTTTCACAGTTATTTTGTACAATATTTGTATGTTTAACATCTAATAAATTTTAAAATGATTATTAACATTATTTTTTCTCACTCTTCGAAATATAAAGATGTAAGTAAATCCCCAAAAACATTAAAGGGGCTCATTTACAATTTGTATTTATAATTTGTTTCTACATAAAGAAATACATTATTGTTGTGTGTTTCATTGAATTTATGCCAGTATGTATATTTCAATTTCAATTAAAGGTGCTATTTTACATTAAACTATTCTTCATCGAAACGATCAACAGAGCTGAAATCAACATATATAAACTAATAATGCAAATATATTCGGTAAATATAGTTAGTGCATCAGCTTCAACTACAATATATATTTATATACTGGGTGTACTTCCACAGAGTCTGCAAAAGTGTTTTGTTTCAAGAGTAAATAAAACCATCATTAACAATAAGAAATATTTAATTTCTTGCTTTAGAAGTTCATGTGTCATGCTGTGTTCTAGCATAGGGTAAAATTAAAACTTGGTATGACAAAAATGCAAAGAAGAGTCTTTTAAGCCAGGTGATAAAGTCGCTGTGTTGCTACCAATCACATGACATCCTTTGCAAGCCAAGTTTCATGGCTCATATCAGGAACTAATCTACTACTATATTTTATAAAGTGAATATATCTATCGCTTTTTAACACATGCTCTTTTTTAGCTCTTTGTAAACTGCATTACTATCTATAAGTGTGAAGCGATAAAACCAAACTCATGATGGATGATCTTGATTATGTGATAGAAACACCTGATTGTCTAAAATCTACTCAGTTGTGTCATACCAAAATGCGGAAGTCATACTTTGATCGTAATGAGCCAAATGTCAATGATGTAGATAAAACCAGTAATGATGAACAAGAGTATCTTAATGTCACCGAAAATGATGCTGAAGACAAAAATTGTTGTGAAATTAAATTTACTAACTTTTAAATCTTAGCAAATCTTGATACAAAATTGTGACACTTAAGTTCAGTTGAGAAAAAACAGTTGTCAAGTTTGTTTTTCAAGTAGAAATGGTTGTTTCCTGATGCTCCGAGTAAGACAACTATGTTATTTTAAAATGTTGATGCTAGTAATGACAGCCTATAAAGCTACATCCATACAGGGTCACACCTGATAAAGCACAACAAATGAAAAATGAAATTGAGTACATGTTGAAATTTGACATCATACGACCGAATCAAAGTATTTGGAGTTCACCTTGTGTTCTTG